TCAACAAATTGCAAAAAAAAAAAAAAAAAAAAAAAAACTGAAATTTTGAGATAAATCTTAGAAATTTTCTAGAAAAAAAATACTAGTACATTTCTGAGTTTCAAAAGTCAAATTTATTTGACTTGAATTTTAAGGTTGAAAATGTCTGACTTTTGAAACTCAGAAATTTCCAAGTTTTTTCGAGAATTTTTTTTTTACAAGCAAACTTTTGACTTTTGGAGCTAAGAATGTCATTGTTTTCCTAAATTATTTCTGAGATTATTCTCAAAATTATTGAGTTTTGTTGGTGGAAATTTTACTCCCTTGTTTTTCTGTCTGTTGACAGTAAGACGTCGTGTCGTATAGACATAGCCCGGTCTTTATAAAACCAAATATCTCCGCTTACATCGTTTAAAAAATATCCTACACATGGGATTGATTTCAGTAAAGTTTTTATCCATATGAACTTGCATAAATCCACCCCTGAGTGTTGTTTTAACCATGCCAGACCCATAGGGGGCAGTGTAGCTCTTGACTTACTTTCTCCAAATACCCTAAACCAGGGGTGTCAAATTCCAGTCCTCAAGGGCTGCTGTCCTGCAGTTTTTAGATGTGCCACAGGTACAAAACGCTGAAACGAAATGGCTTAATTACCTCCTTCTTGTTCTCCAGAGCCTTGCTAATTATTCTATTCAGGTGTGGTGCAGCAGAGGCACATCTAAAAGTTGCAGGACACCGGCCGTAGAGGACTGGATGTTGATACCCCTGCCCTAAAAAATCCGAAAGGATTCATCAGAGAAAGGAATCTTCACCTGAAACTGAAGCTGCAGAGTTGGGAAAGTAGCATTTCTGGTGCTGCAGAAACATTTGGAGCATGGCTGCATGATCTGTGGAGACCATGAACATCCGAGGAGTTCTCTGATTCCTCTTCCAGCTAGAAAATACAACAATTATTTTAATGAAACAAAAACAGGTGAAATTTAAAACATTTATAAACAAAGAAATCTGTAAAATGTATCAGTTTGGAACAATTTAAAACTAAACATTAGAATTAAGTGTAAGACGTTTAATATGGCTGAGAATAAAAATTCTGCATGACTTCAAATCTGCAGATTATGTAGAGAGATTCAGCTATATTTTTGATTTTATTAAAAGCAAAATAAATTTCTAACACAAACAGAAATAGTGTTTTAAGGGTCTGCAGCTGCAGGACGAATCAACAGAGCAGATTTTAATCTCCACAGTGACGGAGGCCTTCATCTGCTCGTCTCTTTGCACACGCTGATGTTTCCAAAAAAAAGCAAAACAAAACACAGACTCCGTATTTTCTAACATTTAGACTCGACAATCTTCTGTTTTAATGGTGAAGGTGCCTCATTTGTGTTTGCTGCTTTCCTTTTGCTTCCAAATGTGAGTGAAAACTTTCACACAAGGTTCCTGCAGCTGAGCAACGAGTCAAGGCCGAAATGACGCTGTGCAATCTGTGTGTGAGCGTGAGCGTGTGTGTGTGTGAGAGTGGATGGATGCTGATCGTTCTTCTGTTTTATCTGCTCAAACCTGGAGTGAATATTAAACGTTCAACTTGAAACAGATGGGAAAATGTGACCAAAGAGAAAAATGTTTTGAGATATTGGAACAAATAACATAATTTCAGTCAAGAAATAATGACATGTGAGATAAAGAGGCGGTAATGACACTGACAACAAAAAGGATTTTCTTAAAATGCAGCAACAAAAATGGACATCTCAATAAACTTTGTTCATAAAACGGCTCTAAACATGTCTGACTCAAAATGTCTATAATTGAGTTTTTATTTTACATCCCAGTTTTAAAGGGGAAGCATTGTGTATTTTCCAGGCACATTGTAAAATTTTATAGCACAATTATTTATAAATGAAATATGTACTGTATATATATATATATATATATATATATATATATATATATATATATATATATCAAATGTCTTCACAATTAATGTCTTGAAATTGGGGCTCTGTTTCTTTAAAAACTCCTGCTCTTTCTGAAACTCCGCCTTCAGGAAGTTGTAACAACATGGCTCTTCTATTAACCCTTTAACAACCTTTATCAGCTTTTCACTGAGAAGAAGCTCCTATAATGAGTTCAGCAGAAGGTCAGTTCCTCCAGGTGTTTGCTAATTGATTCTGGCTAGTCTGAAGGAGCCTCTGAAAGGCAGAGTTAGGTCCACCCACACTTTTTGCACAGCTGAATGGTTTCAGCGGGAGATTTTTCAAACATACATGAAAGAATCAAGGCAACACTCCATGTATGTTTTTGATGAGGGAATAACGTTATAACAGGATGTGAAGTCAATTTTACACAAAACTGCCCCTTTAAGGATTCATCTAAAGGGCTGTTTCAATTAGATAGAACCAAAATGTGCAAATTGAACTCGAGCTGCTGCTTTTGGATGAAAGCAAATTCTGCAGGGAGCTTTCATGTCCTGCCCCCTGGTGGCCATGTCAGTCATTGCAGCCTCAGCAAAATCGAGTTGAAACTTTTGGAGATGGAGCAGATAAAGCCTGAGAGCGTGAAGCACCAAAAAATGTTTTTATTTCCATGTTTGATAACAGTGCCTGTTTTTTTTTTTCTGCACTAACTGACCCACTTCAGAGACACAGAACCGAACCTGATAAAAGCAAACAAACCAAACAGCAGGTCGAGTTCAGATGAGTGGTCCTGCGGCTCGGTGCGACTGATCGCCTCAGAGGTGGTTGCTGTGGAAACCCAGAGGACTTAGGTTGATAGCTGCAATGTTTCTGCAGAAAAATGATTTGAAGCTGTTATTTAAGTATGGATTGTTTGAGCTGGAAAACATCTGAAACGTGTGAAATGTTGCATAAAGTCTGTAAGAGTTTAAACTATATCAATATAAACTACGGCAGCACTGTTAGCAGTTTTCTAGCTAATAGATTTAAGTTTTTAATTTAAAAATCCTGCCATGATTATTCATCTGAAAAGTTGCTGGACATGGGCTGGTGTGTGGGTCACTCTGTCAGAACTCCCTCACAGAAGAGCAAAAAGGAAAATCATTTTCACATTATTTGCAAATTTCAGATTTCCCAAAATTAAGGAAATTGGGGTTGATTTATCGGTGCCCTCCTAATCAAAATATATAAGTTACATCTTGTAATTAAAACAACAAGAACAAAATCACATTGATGTGTGACTGCATTTATTGTTCAGATGATAAAGTCCTGCTTATAGGGGGATTTTTAGGTATTTTTCAGGCCTTTTTTTGCAGAATCAAGTAAATATGTCATCTTCAGTTGTGACTTAACAGAAATTTAACTTTGTAATTTAACTCCTTGACATTGAGTCTCTGTCTCTTTAAGAAGCTCCTGCTCTTTCTGAAACTCCGCCTTCAGGAAGTCACCACCACATGGCTCCTCTTTTAACCCTTTAACAGCGTTTTTACCAGCTTGGCGCTGACATGTAGCTCCTATAACGAGCGATGGGCAGGTGTTTGCTAATTGCTGCTGGCTAGTCTGCAGGAGCTCAGTAGGGCTGCTCTGTGAGGCTGTGTCCTGAAGGCGGGGCTAGATCCGACCAGGCGTTTTGCACAGCGGAATGGTTGCCAGGGAGATTATAGGATTTCTCAAACACGCATGAAAGAATCAAAGCAACACGTATGTTTGTGATGAGAAAATAACATTGCAACATGATGTAAAGCTAAAAAAAAAGTCAGTTTTAAATAAGTACTGTCCCTTTAAGTCTGTATAAGAAGAGAAAAAAGAGAGAATCCATATTTTTTTCATTTTCGAAAAGGATTTTATGCCTTAAAAAAAAAATCCAAAGAAAAACTCCAAGAACTGTTTTATTAGAGCCACTTAAAAACATTATTTAAAAGTGACACTCTTGAACCCAAATGCCTCTTTGGCCATGGCAACCACCTGAAGCGCACCACTTCGAGCAGCTCCTCCAGGAAGTGTCCTTTCTTTGCTCTGTGACTCTTAACAGCACGAACATTCACTGTACATACGCCATCGTCCTCCTCATCCTCACAGAGGTCTCCTGTGTAAATCCTGGCTGTTTGTTTGTATAGCAGGTGTCGCCGCGCTGTGGCTGGGTGTGGCGCCGCATGATATCAGTGTTGTAAAATGAAGAAGCTCAGACTGAAGCCGATTCTGGGTTTTCATGTCAATAAATCAAGTTTACGACAAAAATCACACATCGTGGCATGTTTATTTTGTTGTATTTATTTAGAGATTAATGGTGAATTTAGATTTCCTGATGTTAAATGACGACAGTATGTTGAAAACAATGATTTATTCATCACTGAAAGTTACAGAAAAAGAAGCTTGTTAGTTCTGAACTTCATGTTTAATCTGGTTTTTGAAAAATAACGTTTTGGGACGTAAAAGTTACTGGCTTTTTTTTTTTTTGCTTGCAAACTTTTTCCTTCTTTTGGTTATATTATTATTCTTATAAAAAAAAGTCTATTTTCTATAGCGAGTTCCTACAAGGTCTTGATTTTTCCAGAAAAAAAAAAATATTGACATCATTCCACAACATTTAACGTTGCGTCTTTCAGAATCAGAATTTCTTTTAAAATATTTTAAAAGATTGCAATTCTCAAAGGTAATGCAAATACATATATTTAGACAAATATAAGAATTATAGTAGAAACACAAGAAAAGTGGGATGTTAGAAACATATTGTCTTCTCTTCTCCTGGGTTTTCCCCATTCCTCTTTTCCTTTTTAAAATCAGCATTTAATATTTTTTTATTTTAAATGTAATTTAAAAGATGGAATTCTAATAAAGTTAGTCTGGAAAATCTGACAATTTTATATGAATGACGAAAACAAAAATCAGTAAAAGCACCAACAGTTTCATGCAGATTTTGCTTCTTTTCCTTCTTTTTTTCCCCCAAAACTTTCTGATTATATCTGAACTTATTCAATTCCACACTGTTAACATAGAAGTGAACCAAAAACTGCCTCCATGTCAATCTGACACTAATTCCAACCAATGATGACCCAAAAACCTTTAATGGCGTCACAGTTACAGCTTTTATTAGTCAGTGAGCGAAGCTCCATACATTTTCAATTATATTTTAAGTTTATATTTCATAGTAAGAAGTCATAAATGAGTGATACAGGATTAACATCTAATGTATCATAAGCATCAGTAGCAGCTCAGGAAAGAAGAGAAGCTTGTACTATATGAATGGGACTGACTGATTTAGTATTCCTACATTTATTCATATATGTATAGACATCTTCAAGAACAGACAGGCTGCATGTTGTTTGTAAGGTACATTCAGAAAATGTCTGCTTTGTCAATAGAGCTCGTTTCAAAAATGATGTAACATTCATGATGGCACAATGAAATGACAGCAGGTTAGCGTAGCACAAATTCATTAGAGATAAAAGATGATTAGCTTTGCTTGAAAGTTTGGTGTATAAACATAACATAAATAGCTTAAGAAGTAAAGAGGGAAGCTCATGATTTGACGTAAACAAAGCTAAAATCAAGCTAATGCATTTTGGGCTAATTGTTAAACTAGCCTAAGCTATGTTTGGATAGCTAAACTAAGTTAACATAATGTAGAACACAACAAACAAAACTGAGAAAATTAGGAGATGCTAAAGAAAGCTAAATTAAGAAAACTCACTTTGAATGAAATTAAACTAAGCTAAGCTAAATCAAAGCTAAGTCAGATTAGCTCACTTCATTTTAGCTTGGTGAACCTAAGGTACACTAAACTAACCCGCACCAAGTTAAATTTGGTCAAGTAATTAATTTAATTACTTGACCAAAGGTTAATTTAAGGTAAACTAAGTTGAATCAAGCTAATTTTACCTAAACTGAGTGAAGCTAACACATGTTAGTCTTGGGTAAGCGACATTAAACCAAGTAAAACTAAATCAAAGTAAGCAAAGCTAGATTTGGGTTAAGCTAGGCTAAAATAGTTAAACCATGCTACACTCAAATAAAGTAAGAGAAGCTAAAACCAGCGAACCACCTCTGTGATACGTGTTCATACGGCACTATCTAACGTCATGATGGTTTTGTATTGCAATTATTTTATTACAATGTGTTTTCCTTAAAGACTAAGCTCTCCATGTGGCGACTCCATGAACCCGGTTCAGTTTTCAGAGGAGTCCGTTTCCTCGGTGGAGCCGTCGCTCTCCACCTCCATCTTCCTCCGGTGGTGGATGTTCCTACGTGGGGAGGCGCGCCTCTGCACCTCCTTCAGCCCCCCAATGGCGCTGCCACTGCTGTTGCTGCTGGGGCTCACAGATATCTGAGCGATTCTGGGTTTATTCAGGCAGAAACGCAACACTCAAAAACCATCCCACATGTATTCTTCACGCTATTTACACTGCAAAAACAAAAGGTTTACATGCATTTCTGGTTGAGTTTTCAGTGGAAATGTCGTACCACTTTTGAAATATGACAAAAACTGACTTACAAGTAACTTTTCAGCAAGATAAAGGAGCTTGTTTTAAGTAAATAATTCTTTTTTTATTGATTAAAATGCAAGTTCCACTGGCAGAATATTTCTCTATATAACTCAACACTTTTCCCATGTTATAAGTGAAATAATCTGCTAGTTGAACTGAAATTTTAATCAATATTAAGTCATTATTTACTTAAAACAAGCTCCTTTATCTTGCTGAAATGTTACTCGTTTAGTTTTTGTCTTATTCCAAGTGCATTGAGATATTTCCACTAGAAACTATAACAGAAACTTAGTAGTTTTTGCTGTGAATTTAGTAATTTCACCTTGATAGAGATTATTCAATTGTATTTTGCACACAATTAAAGCCAAATTAATAGAAACTAAAAGTTATTCTTTATTTATTTTTATTTTTTAATGTAATGCGGATCAAATTTGAATTCATTTTAGTGCAATATCGCTGTTAAAACCCAGTGACTGTAAACTAAATGAGTTGTGTGAGTTTGTTCTCACAGCTTGTCGAGTTCCTGGTCCATTTCTGGGTCGATGAGCAGCTCCTCCTTACTGGGTAACGCTCCTGAAACCGTTCAACACAGAAACTCAGCTCATCTAATCAAATTTAATCATGGAAATTAAATGTTGTTGTGACTCATATTAATTAAAAATAATTCAAAGAGTCCCTGGAGATGGTGATGGCTGTGGGCATAAAAGATCTCCTGTAGCAGTCTGTATTACAGCGCATTGAAGAAGCCTCTGACTGAAGACACTATGTTTTACTAAGAGTCATACAAAGATGATGGTCAAGGTTGTCCATAAGTGTCTTGAATTTATATAAAATTCTTAAAATTGAGAAAATTATAAACAACAATCAGGAAGTAAACAGAATAAAAATGGAAAATGTTAATAAGAAAACTTACTTTGTTGTAGAGCAAGTAGCCATTTTGGTTTAAGTCAAGATTAACCCAGTAGAATTCACGTTAATCGATTATTTTACTGATTAATCTATTAAATAAAATATTGGGCACATTCTGCAGAGTTTTCATTTAACCACTTAAGCCTTGAAGAAAATAAATATTTAATTACCTAAAATGCAATATTAAAGCATTCCTTTGGAGAATTTTAACCACATAAAGTCAAAACTAGGCCCCTTGAGTTTTGGCTAATACAGGTGTTTTTATTTTAAGTGAAAAAATTTATGTATTTCTTGTATAATTGTGGCTTAATTATTTCTCTGATTGTGTTCTTTCAGTAAATGGGATTTTTAAAACTCTGCATACTGCAGGTCGATTCATTGCAGTATACAATTGCAATCGATTACAATTACAATGTTCATGTTCATAAAACCTTACATTAAAAAAACTCCTACAATTTTTCAATGACAGATCAAATAAAATCCAGAACATTAATTGAATCAAGGACATTCAGTCGGGTTTTAGTTGTACAATGCGTGATTTTACAGTGCTTGTCTAACCACTAGCAGCCATTTGCAGAGAAAACAAGCCCATCATCGCATGAGCCGTTCTGCAGAAACATGTGCATGTTGTTTCATGACATCAGGAAGTCATGACACAACATGACTAATTGATTACTAAATTAGTTTACTTTTGCTGCTACGGTTCATACAGCTGGAATATTTTTGTTTTTTTGGGTCAAGTTATGTTTGTTGAGAGAAATGTGCTGAACCCACCGATCGTTTGGTTGATGCTCTCATGGTTGGCCAGACTCTGGAGGAAGCCGTAGTAAGAAACTTTGTCTGTCTGTTCCAGTACTTCCCTCAGGCACGTCCTGGAGGGGTAGCTGCTCGCAGAAAAATGCTAAACATTCACAAAAACAACAAAAACGCTGCGATAATGAGACTTTTCATGGTCTGCTCACCTGTGCTTGAACCGTTCACAAAGTGCGTCCACACACTCGGCGAGCGTGGACGAATCCACGGCGTCCTGCTGCTGCTCCTCCCTGTCGCTCTCCTCGGTTGCCACAGAGACGAGCTGCTCGACGGAGGACGACGTGGGGACGATGACGGTGTTGGGACTCTTGCCGGCGAGCAGATCCTGGTAGATCACCTGGACGCTGTCCAGGAACTCTGCAGGACGACGACGGGAGGAACTCATTCGCATTCTGCTCATCAGAAAAAACGAGTCCAAACTGTTTGACCTAAATGTTGAAGTTTCTCATGTTTTCCGGACCGGCTGTACCTTGGTAGCAGAACTGCAGCTGGAAGGAATAAATGAAGTCAGAGAAAGACATCAGACCATCGGAGACGTCGTCCGCCAGAACAATTCTACAGAATGACAGAAAGAGTAAAGCGAAGTTAACGAGCTGCACGTGGAAACAAGATGTCACGGTTCTGAATCTTTGAAAAGATGATCAGGATGTTCTCTTGTTTTCTCTATTGATCACTTTGGATTTTATTTTTGCATTGTAAATCTGTTGCTTTATCTGTTTAAAATATATTAATTCTGTTGGGGTAACATCAAGTTAATGTCAATGCCCTGGGCCAAACAGGACCGGACCGGATCAGAGCAGCTCCAGTTTCTTCATGGCGTTTTCAGATTAGCATCCCTGCTGAGTGCAACATGAAGCCGTTACCACCTGGAGGCGCTCTGCACTGCCTCCAGTGGGAAGTCAGGGCACAGCAGCTGCAGCAGGGACCTGTACTCCTGCACCGACAGCAAATCTGCAACACAGCAAGATGCACAGGTCGATTTAACTGGTGCACAACAACAATCAGTACCAGAGGAGTCAAAGGTTTCACAGCTTCACGTAAAAACTCAATAACTATAGAGTCAAACGTGTTAACATTAGGTCAGCAGAAAAACAGATAAATTAGTAATTAAATACACATTAATATGTCCATCAATTAATCTATCTATTAGATTATTCATTTTAAATAAATGTAAAAAATAAATGTATTTTTTCTTTGTTTTTTGTTTCCATTACAGTTTTGTTAAATAATCCGGCAAAAAAAAAAATCTACTTCACCTAGTGTAAAATCTTTTTATCAAAACACAATAATTCTTTTGAACTGTTATGTTTTCATTAAGCAAATTTATTTTCAAAATGTTAAATACAGTCAACGCGAACGCAGCAAATTATTGATCCGTCAGTAACTTAGTTTAAAGCATGTTTTATAATTTCTCCTTCAGGTCATGAAATCTGCTTTATCATGTTTCGTAAAGATTGTTAATGTAATTTCTGATTTAGACTTTATCATTTTAAGAAGCTGCAGCATCGCCTCGCTCACCTCCACTCTTGCCGATCTGCCTGAAGCATCTCCAGAAGACTCTGATGAAGGACGCTCTGTTGTGCTGCGTGGCTCTGATGTAGCTCAGCTCCCTGAAGAGGACATGGTTGCTGTTCTTCACGCTGCTGAAACTAAAAACACACACAAAAAAAAAACGTTTAAGGAAGCAGGTCGGGTACAACAGGAATGAAACCGAGTCGCCTTCCAAATTAAAATAAACAATGTTCTCAAAGCCAGTGGAGTCGTAACTTCAAAATTTAAACACAAAATGTATTAAATTACAAATGCAAATATTAGTTTATTGCAATTTTTCTATTTTTTATTTTGACCTGCTTGATAATAAATAACATTTTTATGAAATCCAGAAATCCTTAAAGATCAAAAACATACAGGTTTTATTTTTGTTTGATGAAAAGAAATTAGTTCTATTTTGTTGGGCAAAGTTTTACTGTTCTTGACTTTTGGTCGGAGGCCGAACAAAATCATTTCAGGGGCCAAAAGTTACTTTGAAATATCAGTAGTTGAGCAGAGCTTAAATTTGGATTGATTTTCTTTTACATTTAGAAAATTGTAACAAAAAGATGAGCCCATTTATATGTGTTGCTAGACAGTCACCTAATCTTGCAGCCATTTTATTCTATGAGTGACATAGTAATATCTTCCAGCACAAAAGATGGGAGTATTTAAAACAAAATAATTACATTTTGGTTGAATTGTGGGTATGACTGTCACAACAACTAGTTTTGCTGGGCAATAAATTATTCATATGTTGTTTATTTTGTTGTGACCTTTTACCAAAATTGATTCATACTTCATTTAAAATAGATTAAACAAAACGGGCTGTTTTAAATAAATTATATTATTATTTTCGAAATTTAACCCAGCTCTGAATTTTGTATTTAATTAATTAATTTATTTATTTATTTATTCGGATTATCTCAGATGGAGTCATAATTCAAACAAAAAAACCTTCGGAATCTTTTCATAGTAAAAATAAAAAATATAAGCCACATATTTTGTTTTGTTACATTAATGCAGAGCTATTCTGTGTTTAAAGCGGTTCGGTTCTTACTATTCGGCGAAGTACCGAACCAGGCCGAACTGGGTGTACTCGTCCCTGTGGTCCAGCAGCTGGGTCACGGCATCATTCAGGTAGAACAGAACCTGGCTGTCCGCTACGGGGGGGAATAACAGACAATCAGAACCGAACCGAGCCAGTACAAATGAGAATATTACCGAGGTTACCGAGGTATTACCGAAATTATTACCGAAATTACCGAGGTACCGCTCTCCGGGTACGGCCGAACTCAGGCGGTTCATTCTGCTGGTTCTGACGGGATGGATCCATTCACATCATCGCAGCATTAGAGACTTTATTGATCAGCCGATTCAGTTCTGGAGGATCTGGATGATTCCGACTGGCATCGTTGCTGCAAACCGCGGCTCCATATATGGAAACAGGAAACAAGACCGGATGTTGTGAGCTACGTGAATTTGAGTCCCCAGATAATCCTGCTAATAAAGGTTCCGCTTCACGTAAAAATAAATAATATTAACAACAATAATGACTGCTTTATGTAACATACGTAATATTATGTAATGATAATAACTATTATTATTTTACCTAATAATTATTATTATAATTACATTACTGTTGTTGAAATAAGAATTTTAAATTAGCACAATAGTACACAGGATAATCTTTGATGCATATGAAATATAACATGGAAACTTAGAATACACTCTATGTGCACATAAATCTAGATAAAGATCCAAAACCAAAACAACTGGCCACTCTCGGATTTTACATAAATTCTATAAGGAGGGTTTTGCAGCAAGACAGACATGCACTTCCTTAACAGACAGGGGGGCTGCATGCCAGGCAATTAACAAATTCCTTAGTGTGGTTCAAAAGTTCACTAGGATCTTAAAACGTTTTATAAATAATCTTATCCATACTATAATTAAAATATATATTAAGAGATTAAGTATTAAACCACATGTTTTGAATTAGTTCTTTTGTAATCATACTATTTGCATGCATTTTATATTACTGAATACAATATTTTTAGTATACTTGACTTTAAAATATTTCTGATATTCTCAAAGAGTTCTTCTTTAAAAATAAAACACGTTAGTTCTTAGATACAAACTTATAGGTATTATTTATTATTTAGTATTTAGCATTATATGTTCGAGTTTGTTTAAAATACAAACTACTTTCTTGTTGAATTATTTGAGGCAGAGAACGCTCCAGCTGCACGCTATAAATCATGACCTGGGCAAGAGCCTGGTACGAGAAGATCTGGGTGTTTTTAGCAGGCCCCAGAGGTAATAAAATTAACATTAAGACAGCCCCCACAAAGGGAAAAACACACCTCCTAATGCATATATTTAGATTTAGAGAAAGACAGTCATATAAAAGTTTTTGTTTACAACAGAGAATTTCGAATCTCTTTGTGCTGAGTGATTCCCAGAGATGCATGTCTGTTCTTTGTTTCTCTTTTTAAACTCATTGCAAGTGTTTTTTCTATTTGTCATTTTTATGGACTTTTGATTTCTGGGTGAGATGCTTATTGTAACATTCTTTCTGCATTTATTTTCTCTGGATAAAACTCTAGATATCTGAGGTCTGATGTCGTATGATTGCTCTTTCTCCCTGCGCATATTGAGGCTCAAGAATCCGGGATCAGAGGAATGAATTAACGAGCTAAATCAAGTTATTCCTCTTTAATTCTTAACGTGATGCAATGGTGTGGAGATATTTTCTTGGCACACTTTGGGTCTCTTTCTACCAAAGATACATCATTTAAATGCCATTTAAGTGGCCCCTGAATAGTGTTGCTTTTGTTACCACAATCTATCTATCTTCTGATTCCTAATTTCAGAATAATGTACCATTTCACAAACCTTAGGTCATCTATCAAGCATAGTAGTGGAGGAATGCTAATGTGGGCTTGTTTTTTTATATACCTTTCAATTGTGAAGTTGACCAAGAACTCATCCTTATATGAAAAGCACAGAGTCAAATGTGATGGAATTTCTCCAAAAACTCAAGCTTGGCCCAAACTAGGACATCACATGTGCAGTAACGCCAAACAGCCAAAGTCAATCAGATTGTGGAAAATATACAGAATATGAGCTTTACATCTTATTAGTCACTTCCTTCAGAGGTTTGTTTTAAACCTTAAAAATAAATGTATATCCTAAATATTGTTCTGACATACATTTTTTATTAAAATAAAAAATCAAGGATATAACACTGGAAAAAAAATTCTCTGTCAATTCTACCATTTCATTAATCTGATTGAAACTTATTTTACTCTTCTTTTTATTAAAAAAACAGCTGATTTTTCAGTTTTATTTAAGACTGCTAGTCTGAAATATAATTGTACTTTTCTGTTGTTATGAAGTTTGTTATCAAACAGTTTTTAATTTAAAAAAACAATTTAATTGTACTTGAAGAATAGAATTTCGAATTACCCAGTCAAAAACACGGGTGTGTTCCCCGTCAATATGAAGTAACCAATAGTAAACCAATCGATATTCCTATGAGGCGGGTGTTGTCGCAGAAAGTCCAATAGAATTGCTGCAAATTATGACCTACATCGCTTCCATCAAATCAGCAAATTATTTTGACATCATGGGGGCGGAGTCTCGTTCAAATCTAGCCAATCATTTGCGACGGCTGAAGACAAACAAGGAAACCTATTTGGGATATTGCAAATGACAGAAAAAATGAAACTGTGAGGTTAAAAATCCGCTTTCACTGGGATTTCCAGATATGTTTGACTGTGTTTGACAGAGCTCACTATCTGGTTTAACGTAAGAAACGGATGCAGACAGAACGAAGCCCCCGGTCTCCGCCCTCCTCTGTCTCTCCGCCCTTGGACTCTTTTGAAAAAGATGCATCAAGTTACACATGTATATCAGAGACGTTACCGGATGTGACTATACAAAATAAGAGTCAGTAACTCATATGTGACCCAAAGAGTCCAAACAGATACAAAACAAATGTGCAAACAATATTTATAGTGTGTTATTGTGTCTTTTATATGTATATATTATTCAATATTACGAATATATCAGCTTGTTTAATAGAGGCAAGAGTCGTTGACTTTTACTTTTAGCGGAAGTTGTTTGGGACGTACATGCAGCTGAGGCTTTAAGACTCGGCCAGACTTCACTAGGGTGATCTCATTATAGTGCCCATATCACTGGGTTACCTACGTCTTATTGTCCTACAGAGACGTCAACAGGTATTCTTTTCATGTCAGTTTAATCCTCCACGTCGACTCGCAGTCCATTTTGTATGTGTCGGTGTGTTTGAGCTGCTGTGGCGGAGAACTGCGTTGTTCGGCCTGGCTGTGTTGGCGCGGATGGACGGTTAGCTCCTAGCCGTTTCCAGGCAGCTAGTGGACGTTAAGAGCCATGAGCAGGCTCTCATTGGGAATACTTTCTGCACATGATATTTTTTCATTCTGTACAAAGCATTAGTAGAGTCACATTGTCTATATTGAATTAATATGATGGATGCTACTGGTGAGGCGATTTAAACCAGAACCTCCGGGGTAAGTAACGGAGCAACGGCTGTTGCTAAGGTAGCTAGTTATCATTGTGCTGGTTCAAATTAAACGGTTCGGTAATATTCTAACATTTTCTCAGCTTGAGTATATTGTTTGTTTTTTAACTCGGGTCACGGGTAACTAGCCTCTGACGGGGCTGCTGTTTGGTTAAACCCAGTGGGTTTTCGGGTGCAGCCATGTTTCTGGGTTAGCTTTGCTTGGGGATTTGAATGAATTAATTTACAATTCAATGACGCTGAACCAAATGAGAGTAAACATCAAGTTTGGACATTTCTGGATCCACCCTAATTTAAATCTGACTGTTTTAGTTCTTCTCTACCTTGACCATCGTTTAGTGTTCATTAATATAACATTATCCGTGGTATTACTTATGCTGTTTTCTGTCTTGCGTTTATGCGCTTTTACTGTTGCTGTTTGTCTGAATTAATAATGAGATGTTTGTGGATGTACTATGATCCCCATGACTACCTGTCCTACAAGTTGTAGGCGTTTCCCTCGATGCCACACCTGACTGAAATGAACAGGCCTCTGCATCACCTGACTGCATGCTGAAGGGATGCACTGAAGGATTTTATTGTTGCAATATCTGTTTTAGTTTTCTTTAACATTGTAAATCTAATTTTCGTGGATTCTCTCATGAGGCTGGAGTTGACTTATAATTGTAACTTCTGATTCCACTGCATCCTTCACTACTTTGACCATTTTTAGACTTGTATTATTTTACACCATGAACAGGATCATTGAATCACATTTGTGAAACTTATTAAATACAAGCATAATTTGTTGCTCACAAGGGGAAATTAACATATTATTCACAATTAAAGTGTTATTTGTGAATAATATGTTAATATGCACTATAATGAGGCTATTTTGCCATTAGAGTAGTCTGGGTTTGAAGAGTCTGAGTGTTGCAGTTTCTGAGCTGGACCAGAAAAGTCACTAAGTTGGCCTTTTATTAAACTTTTGTAAAACCGATAAAGGCATCAGAAATTAGGTTTTATGTATTCTGCTATTAATGTGGAGTAATCTAGTGTACATTTAACACTAACTGGAAGACATTTTAAATATCCAAATTAAATCAACAAAACAACTGAAATGATAAAGTTAATTTTAAAGACTTTGTAAACAAAACTGTACTTAAAAAATGACAAGTTGAGACTAAAGCACCAAACTGAATATTTTTATCATCCAGTTTTTGGTAGAAAGAGGGGAAAAAGATGTATGATAAAACATGCCAATTGAAATTGAGTTGCCAATTGAGCAGTCAAAAGACTTATTGATTATTGTTACAGGCTTAATTGTGGCTTTTAAGATAAAACAGATAAAAATTGTTCAGAATTTGAAAGAATAGATGAACTTCCTCTTTAGCCATTTCTTGAATCAGAAGCTAACTGAAGCTTCGTGGTTCTCCGGCTACTCTGGTTGGAGAAAAGTAGCAGGAATTCCTTACACAAGGTTTCTAGTTTTGTCAGTTTAACATGTTTGTGTTTCCTGTACAATGGACTCTGAGCTCAAGGCATTTTCATTCCGTTTGCCCAACTAGTTTGCATCAATGTGAAACATGAGCCTCCAGCTATTTCTTTAATGTGCTTTGAACCACTAAGTGGCTTGAGAGCGTCGCTGCACTTTATGGACTCTAATTGAACAAAAGTAGAACTATCTTTCAGCATTTTTTCCCTGGGTCTTCACTACTTTTTCCTCTGACTATAACTTTTTGAACTTTAATTTGATCTAACTTACAGTCTTTGGCCTGATCAGTTTTTTTCAGCCTCCCTCTGTTGTTGTTTGAATGTTCTCTGTTTGTGTTTCATTAAATTTGAAATCAATCATGCTGTTCCTAAACATAAATGTTCCACACTTGAGTACATTTGGTGTGAG